ACAAAAGCAATTCAACAGATATGATACCTTTGTTAATGATTGATTTATGTTTGCAATTGTTAAATTCTTTGGATTTCTTTAAGGTAGAAATAATATTTATTTATGTATATTCTTAAAATTACTGAAAAAGAAAATTTTTTGAAAATTTTAGATTTTTGCAAAAAGAGTTTTTTTATATATTTAATTTTTTTTTATTTTTTTTAATTCTGCAATCAAATTGGTGTTATTTATTTATTAAATTATAAAGAACTATTACAAGTTGAGAATGCCTGCAAAGTATAAATTTCCTTGAATCAACTCATTTATCAATAGTTGAAGTCTTTAGATGCAATTTATAGGGGTGATATGTTGTTTTTCTAAAGGATAGGATCAAAACCTGCAGATCACCTCTACAGTCATGACTATAAATCCTAATTGTGTCAACTTCTCTTGTAGTAACTATACAAGAAAAAAAAATAATAAAAGGGCAAAGATCTTTGAAAATCTTTAGGTATAGACCTCCAAAGAATTTCTATTGTCGTTAAAAGACTCCAGAGTAAAAATTAATATAGTTTATTAAACTCTAGAGATCTTTGATTTAATGTAATAATAATAAACTATATTTATATTTATGTATTATAATTTAATAATATTCAAATTTAAATTTATTGGTTTATAAAATTATTTTTATTATTATTTAATTCTTGTTTACATTTATTTATTTGTTTAAATCTTCACTCATTGCCAGTCTTTTTTTCTAATTCTTTATTTTTCAGTAATTGTCCCAAATTATTCTCAGTATTTTTAAAGTTCTCTAGATTATTTTTTATAGTAATAATTCATGAATCAGTCATTTATTTATCTTTACTACTTGAATTTTCTTTTTTGAATTCAAGTTCTTTTTTAATTCTTTCTTAAAATATTATTAGCAATAATTTATAATACTTTGAAGATTTTTAAAACTTGCCTTATTTTTTTCTATTTTGCTTTTAATTAATATTTCATTTATTAAAATACTTTCATTATTCAGATCAAGAACTGTTTAACATATTGCAATGGTAAATACTATTTATTCCTCAGAGGCATCTTCCTTTGACCAGACTTTTTCGAGAATATGGACCATTATGCTTTGTGTCTCTTTTCTTGAATATTTGTAAAGGTTTTCAAAGTATTTGGCAGTCTTCTGAGATTGTTTCCAGGCCAAAATGTTGGTAATGAATACAAATATATTTATTGTATTCAAAAACCCTTTACCAAAAACCAAAAACATGGCATCATGAATTTTTGAAGCCATAGTTTCTCAAAATGATTAATATTGTTTCACGAGCTTTTAAAGCAATAAGATATTTAATAACTGAAGAATTAAAGTTATTAATATTTATAAAAATTATCACTTGATAAATATGTTTTTCATAATATGTTTTATAGTATTTTCTTATAAAGCCTTTGTAGAACTCTGAATGTTTTTGCTGAAAAAATTCCTTAGTTATTCAGTGAAAATTTTCATAGTTTGAATATATTTTTTCAAAAAATACTTATTTCATGATAGTCTTAACTGTGCACTATTTAAATAAAATATAAGTTTTCAAAGATCTTTGAAAAAATTTAAAATAAATCTTATTTCGATAAAATTATGTTCGATAATTAAATGTTGACTTATGTGAATTTCATTTTCTAGGCAGGTAACCTTATTCCCTATAATTTTTTGATATTTTAAATTTTTTATGAAAGCCTTCATGGGGTTACATAAGCTTTCAAGAAAATTAAGTGATACAAAATTTTTGAGATAGAGTTTTTTTTTTAATTATATATTATTATTTTATTGATTTATATAAAAAATTATTTGTATAAGAAATGAAATTTTTTTTTAAAAAAGATATTTGATTTTTTTTTAATTTAAGAAAACCTTTCTTTATTAATGATAAACAATATTTAGTTTATAATATTTTCTAATATTAAATATTATATTTGAAATATTTATAAACAATGAATTTCCATAATATATTAATGTACATATACAATTTAAATAATAAGGACTGTTTGGTTTGGTTTAATTAGTTGATTAAATAAAAAAAAATTTATAGATTTAAACAGTACAATTAAAATGGTTACAATAATTTAATAGTTTATAAGTCGATATAAGCTAGTTATAAATTACTTTTAATATGATATTATCTATTTGATATAATATTGTATATTAAAGGTCTTACATGTAATAAGCCAATATTAATTTAAATAAATATTTAATATAATAATAGAATTATTAAAAAATAATATTTGTATTTTATATTTGTTTGTAGTAAAAAAAAAATGAATAAATAAGAGTAATACAAATAACAATCATATTTTATCCTTTTATTAAAGATTCACAAAAATCCAATTTTGATATTTTTTAATATTAGAAACTTGAATGAAGTTTTAAATCAATTATTTTTTAATTATTTTTCATATTAGATATAACAAACTAGTTTTTTTTTTATATAATATAATTTTCAATGACAAAAAAAAAAAAAATCGTCAAATTTATTTATCTGTATTGTAACTTTTATATAAATATAAAAAAATATATATTTGATCAAATAAGATTTATTAAAAAACCATAAGAAAATCAAAATCAAAATCCAAATTTGAATGATCATTTATAATTTATTGCTATAACGACCCTTTGTGTTATTTTAATATATTTCCAATCTACGGTATATCTAAAAAACATCGAAATTATGTCAATGTTTTTTTTTAGCAAAAAAGACTACTGTATAATGGTTAGATAAAAAAATGGATCAATAAATTATATACTGTATGTATTTTATGAAAAAATCTTGTGGTTTTTTTATACAGTATGTGTGAAATCTATTTATTGATGATAGAATGTTGATAATATATACAGTTATATATTCATTCATAAATCAACTAAAATGATATAAAAGATGTATTTATATAGTATTGAATAAAAGAACTTGATGATATGATGGTAACGTAATAGTAATAATAATCAATAATATCATTGACAGTAGCAAAGAATAGCAACATTAATGGGGAATCGTCGCATTAACAGTAATAATATTCGGTAATAATATTTGTGTTAGCATCATTAGTATTAGTACTAATCAATCCATGTATTAGCGTTAGCATAGAATAGCGTTAGTATTAGTACGGTGGTAAGAAAAAAAATTGCGTTAATATAGTTATATATTAATTGTTGGACAATGTCCAGGTTACGTAATCATCAGCGGATTTTACGAGTGCGTGCGTACGTCTACAGTAAATGTTTGTTATTATCTTTATGAAAAGGATGCAACGAACTGACGGGTATTTCTCCATACCCTTAGGACATCGTAGATATTAACTCCGCAAAAGGTGAACATCTGCTGGAATCAGTCCCTATCGAAACTATTTGAACTAATCAAACAAATGTATCACATCGGGAACCAATCATATCGCCGGTAGAGGAAATAGGGAGAGTTGACACCGCCGAATTTGCTGATAACAGTAAAGCAATTTTGTATATGCATACAATAACTATTGCGCGTACAGTATATTATCATGCCATGGTCGCAAGTAAAATCCGCTAAAGTTTAAAAAGTGAGGCTATGGCGATAAGGGAATACGTAACGTGCATAGAAATCAATTATTGTGTGGTTACCAAATTATGCAATGGGATGAAAGGAGCAGACCCTGATTTTTTTCTAGAGTGTTCATCGATTAGTCATCAAATCTGACGTCGAGTTTTGAATTTATTTGTGTTTTAAAAAAAGTTACAGCAAAACGAGGTCTAGATTGTCATAAAACATTTTTTTCTTAATGTGGAAGTCCATTACTAACCAGGGAAATAAAGGTGTGCTGTTGTTTTTCTGTTAGTAAATGGGACGAGGATGTATTAATGTAAACTTATCAACGGAGTTGCATTGTCTCAATGAGACGGGATCGGAATCGGAATCGGAGTCGCATGCATCCAATCTTGGAGTTTCCATTTGTCGTCATTGAGCCGTCTTGATGAAAACGATCCATTGGTCTGCCAAGCAAAAATTCTTATATTCCCATTTTAGAAAATTTTCAATATGGAGTTCAGTTGAATCAAACTCCTTTCAAATGGCTTAATCCCAAAATGGTCAATGCTTCTTTCTCGGTGCATGTGATGACCTTGATCTTGGGAAAATAATCATGGCAGCGCACACTTGTAACAAATAATCTTACCTAATCTATCCAATGCTCACACTCGAAACAAATAAAATGAAGATAATTCCTGTTGACTTGTTGAAGGCGAGTTGAATGGGTGAAGATAATCGATAAACGGATTGTTGCACAAGAACGACTTAATGTAGTTCAAAAATTTTGAACCAAGTGCCCTCGTTGACTCACATCCAAGTTTTTCGAAGCGCCGATTTCATCGGAAGCAGGAGATGGGTGTGACGAATTGAAGATAACCTTTGTTACTCATCACATTCATTCATCCGCATGCGCAGCAAAAAAAGGTTTTTATCTGTACAATGGTGCGTATCTATTTAGAAAATTAAAATACGTGGCAGCCATGCATTCAAAATTCTTGTTCGAGTTTGGACCAACCTATAGATTAGATGAAAAAAAAAAAAAAAAAAAAAAGAGATTTACAATGTACAGTACCTAAAAGAAAATTCGGCTTGTTATCAATCGCCGCAGAGAAAGTAAACGAAAAAAAAAGGGAAATTCCATAATAGCTTACATGAGGTTCATTGTTTTTTTTGTGAAATATTATGAATAATTATTGTGTTCTTGAAAGAAAATTACCATTATCATCATTTGTTCATGGACGCATTTATTTACATTCGCCTTGTTTATACGTGTGCCCATCGTTCGTAAGCATGTTCACCCAAGGTAAGTACATATGTATTGTATTGGTTACAAAAAAGTCGACATAGGGAATTCATCAAACCAACTCGGTTGGATCAGGTGAATCGACGTTAATAAAATCAGCAATTCAGAAGCTCGTTTTGATTTAAAAAAGACACCCAATTGGTAGAGATTTATAATGAAAAACAAAATATTTAGTTCCTATTAATAGAGGTCCACTCATTTTCGTTAAATTCGTTGATCCTCGGATGAAGGAATAAACGAACCGTGAATGGCGCACCCTTACGGTGATGGATACAACCTTCTAGCAATCGAAGTTCTGAATTCCCACATGAATCTTGTGGCTGTTCTCCAAAGAATGAGTCCATACTAATAATAAAAGGTCATAGTATCATCATTGGTTATCGTTATCCTCCTAAATTTATTCAAACTCACCTTTCTTCTTCGGTCCATCATAGTTTGATGCCACAGCAGACGCCCTAGCCGATAAGCGACAAGGAATGCATCACACTTGAATGATCGCGGTGGCGTTTTATGGCAAACCCACGGAATAATTGTTCGCATCCGCGCATGCCTGCTGAGAATCATGTATGTGATGGAGTGCAGTTTTTGTATGTACGTTGCAAATCGCAAGGTCACGCATTGTATTTGAGATCGGTCTTATGATGCATCCGTTAGCGAATGGGTCGGAGAACATTCATAAATAGATATTTGGATACGCCGATTTCTATTATCTCGCAGCGAGCCAATTCACAACAGTATAACAGTATAGCCGAAATTCGCTATTTCCGTCCGAAAAGAAACATGCACATTAATTACGATTCGTATCGTCGCTCGTTCGTCAACAAATCAGGAATAGCACACGCATATATAAACCTGTTTATAAATGAGCACGTACACGCAGGGATATACAAAATTATTAAATACTCTTTTGTTATTCTGTGTCTCTCGCATTCCCGTTCCCGAACATCGTTCTGATTGCATGTCCGATTATATCCGATTATTCGTTTTCCTTGCATTTTTAAATTAACCTAACTTTTGTTAACGTTAAAGGAGAGAAATATCATCGGATAACTTTGTGGACAACACTCCAGTTAATAAGTATCTGTATGCAACAGGGAATTACCGCATAAAGGTGGTTAGTAATAATCCTCACGGGATTTAATTAAAATTGGGGAGCGCAAGAAATTCATTGTGTTTCCAAGCTCATAATAATAATAACAGGAAAAAAAAAAAAAATTTTTTTTTATCTGTATTATTATTATTATTACCGTATTATTATTATTATTACATTATATTATTATCACTATTATATTATCAATTATATTATATTGTCTATTACATACTCATCGCATAGACGAACATAAGTTTGTTAAGAAAAAAGGCTTCATTCACTAGTACTTATGCCTGTTAGATCATTTCATAGGTGTGATGAAACAATAAAAAAATTCTCCTTCAGAGTAAGATTCCCCAGAGAACATGTTGGTACACCGACATCATTTGTCCAATGCACAATAAACAAATGCACATTCCTAA